CATGCCCGTCTATGGCCATGCCACCCTGAATGTGCCTGATCCCATCTGATCTTGGAAGCTAAGCAGGGTTGGGCCTGGTTAGTACTGGGATGGGAGACCACCTAGGAAGACCAGCTGCTGGAGGCATAAAAAATTTAAAAAAAAAAAAAGGGGATTGTAAACTGACAAGGTCCTTGCAATCTGTGAGGTCAACCAAGGGTTGCCTCACCTAAAAACAAATAAATAAAAATAAAGTGACAACTAGATTCAAATGACAGTCCAACGAGACACCTTTCAGAGAACATCATTATTTTAATAATAAAATACGCCTTGACGGGGTTTTGCGTCTTCTGTCTCAGGCCTGTCTTGACAGAAATCCAGAAGCTTTCCAGCCAAAAATCGGGCCGGGGAGCCTGGGGGACGCGAAGCCGCGGCACAACAGAGGCTGTAACTGCAAGCGCTCGGGCTGCCTCAAGAACTACTGCGAGTGCTACGAGGTCAGTGGCCGGGCCCTGGCAGCGGCCGGAGCAGGCGGAGCACGTGCTCACGGCCCGCGCAGCTGTGGCTTCACGCCGCGCCCTAACTTAGAAAGACAGAGTTTCGTTTTCTTCCTTCCAGGGTTTCTAAACGGGCCCTCAGCGGTCCGTACCCTTGTCTCGAATGCGAGTTACCCGTTACGGGTCAAGCCGGTCAGCAGGGCTCCCGAGCCCACCTGTGTCCAGCCCACGGTGCCTGCCGCGTGGCTCAGATCGGAGGCTGGGAGCCGCTGTCAGTGGGGCAGCAGGGCACTTGTCCCCAGGCAGACACTTGCCGGGGCGATTGGAGCGGGCAGCTCCTCCCTGGCTCACAGTTCCTTGGAGGCCAGAGTGGACAGTCGCCTGCGCTGCAGGAGGGGTGCCGGCAAACCGGGGTGCAGACCGGGTCTTGCACAAGAGCAGCCTTTGCCTTAGCTCTGGTGGCAGTGGAGGGACTTGCTCTCCCCTCTCTCGCCTCCCTCTTAGTCTCTGCTGTGTGTGACGCAGGCAGGGAGGGGACCCTCAGCCCTTCGGTGAAGCAGCAGAGAAGCTCTTTCCTATGAGGCCTTTGGAGGAACCTATGAGTCTTATTTTTAAAAGGTTGTCATGGAAGGTCAGGCTTAAGACAAGTTCGTGATTCTGGAGACACACGCATCAGCAAACCCCTCACCCCAGTTGGCGCTTGGAAATGCAGCCGAAGCTACTGCAGCTGCAGAATCCAAAAGGCGCATAATGTCACCCCAGGGTCCATTCTCCAGTGTGCTCGCGGCGTCTCTATCTGCTGGTCATGGCACACTGGCCACGTCGTGAGTCAGTGAGTCCCACGGGGTGTGTGGACATCCTGGAGCCCCTGGCATTAGAGTAACTAGAAATCCCAAGAAAGGTCCTACTCAAAACACCCAGCAACACCAGTTACCCTATGAGAAGCATGTCAGGCTGGAAAGAACGGAACCCAGGGCCCGAAACAGAAGGAGCCCAAACTCCAGTGGTTGGCATGGCTGTCATGGGCAAGGGGGTGGACGCGGGCTTGCTGGGCAGAGCCAGGACACCCCCACCCCCTGCGTGTCACACTGCCATGTGACAGGGAATGAAGTCCACCCACAAGGAAGCAGGGAGGGCCTCCCCTAGCACACCCTGCCCAGGCCTGCCCTCGGTCCATTCTCTGCAGCAGCACAGCGGAAACAGCTGGAATGTCAGAGCCAGCTCACTTAATTCAAACCTGGCTGGTGTTCCCGGTGGGGGAGGGGACAAAGCCCCTGGGGACTCACACCCACGCCCGCCCCCCAGCCTTCCAAAGCACCGCCCTCCCTTGTCAGCTGCACCGCCCTGTCCCCACCACGGGGACACGTGCAGACGTGCCCCTTGCTCTCCACGTCACAGCAGACGCTCCTCTCCTCTTCTGCTTTGTTTTTTTGGTACAAAAATTGCAGATTGCATGTACTCACACACGTGCAGATACAAACAAAAGAGTTAAGGTCCAAATAGAACTCATTTTTTTAAATTTAATTTTATTATTAGTGACAAGTATACAGTACATTGGTTAGACATTTATATAGTTTATAAACGATCCCTCTGTTTGCTCTTTCTCTAGAATTTGTTGTTTCTGACGAATCGTAGGGCACCCTAATTTTACCGAAGCGTTTTATATTGCCAGGCCAAAATCATGTGCTCTTCTATTTGCAAATGCATTGGTTGCAAAAATTATGAAGAAAGCCCAGAACGGAAAACACTCATGACCATGCCGAACAATATGGAAGCTGGAGGTTTTGAGGGCGGCCATCATTTGTCGCCCACTAAATTTGCAGGACTGCCCAAATTCAGGAAGGAAAGGTGGGTATTCTGAGCTAGCCTCCCTGATCGGGGCGTCGGGGTCAATCTAGGGGGAGTCACTGTGCACGCTGGAAAGAACGCAGGTGCGTCTGCAGGGGCGGGCGAGGGAGGAGGACAGAGGGTGCCACCTGCGTCCTCGGCCGGCCCAGGGAGCTCAGGCACCTTCCGCAGGGTCCCGCCGCTTCGTCCTGTTTGTCCTCTTAGCTCGGCCCTTTTGTCCTCACTGAGCAGAAGGGCCCTGCAGGGGTCACCAGCCTCGGGCAGCAGGAGTGTGATGTCTGGACAGCAAGGGCCCGAGCTGCCCTTCACCACATGCAGTGACAGCTCAGAGGCGTCCTCAGCACACGCCTCGCTAAGGCCATTAGGGGTTCCGCTTTAGTTGGCTATTTTTTCCATTAAGTTATTTTGAGGCCATACGATAATCCTAGTTGGTGTCAAAGGATGATTAATAATTTTACTATATACTGGACTAGATTTATCCATTTTTAAAAAAGTCTTTGCATCCAGTGCGATGGGTCATGTCATGATAAAGTACGAGATGTCATCCATTAATGTCATTGAAAAGCCAGGCTCACGCTTATTTGGTTGAAGAGACACCAGGAGCACACGACTCTGTGACCTGCAGAGCTCATCGTCAGTAGACGCTTCCCCAGGCGTGGCCGCACCGTCGGTGGAACTACACGTCAGCCGTCACCGCCTCCGTCGGGGCTGCCTGTCCAGCGGAGGGTGATGGAGGCTCCGTGCCCCAGTCCAGCCTCAACCTGTGACGGGGCTCGGCCTGGGGCAGCCCGCTCCCTCGCCTTCAGCAGAAGCTGTTGTGCGTTATCTTTGCAGACGCCTTAACCAATCCTAACCTCTGTCTCTCTCTTCGTAATCCAGTTCTTTTTAATACTTTACAGTTTTCTTGAGGTTTCTCAGTTCGAGCGACACAGGCAGCCGTCTGGCTAAGCCACAGTTGCCTCCTGAGCTCACGGGGAAAGTGGCTGGTCCTCAGGATGTGGTACAACGGCCCTCGGAACCTCAGTCAGGGACCGAGGCCATGCTGACAGCGCCCCCCAGGAGTGACACCGCCTAGGGACAGCCTCAGCCCAGCCAGGCTGTCCTCGGTGCAGACACTGTGCTCAGAGCCCAGACCAAGGCTCTTCTCTGCAGGGACTGTCTCTGCCAAGAGTCCTGCTCCTCACCCTGCCTGGTCCTCGGGCCTGGCACCGGGGCCTGAGGCCCTGGGTCTGTCAGCGGACCTAATTTTGAGAAAATTTAGAACCTACCATGAGAGCGATGTCAGGAAGCCGACAGATTTACCTTCCTCCGTATTTTTCTTCTAAAAGCAAGCTGTGACCGATATTATTAAGGTTAAAAACGGTTTCCAGCATTAGGAAGACATAAGTGTTCCCAGTGACATTCCTTCACACGCCATGACAGGCGTGTCCCCTTGAACCTAACGTCTGTGAGCCGCGGAGCCCTTGACGTGGCCGTAACCGCTGTGTTTCCGGCAGGTGGCCCTCGTCGTGCATCTCGCGGGAGGTGGTGGAGGCCGCGTGCGCCTGTCTGCTGGCGCAGGGGGAGGAGGCCGAGAAGGAGCGCTGCTCGGAGTGCCTGGCCGAGCAGATGATCTTGGAGGAGTTCGGCAGATGCCTGTCGCAGATCCTGCACATTGAGTTTAAGTCCAAGGGGCTGAAAGTCGAGTAGGGAGCAGCGTGGCAGGGCATGCATGTGTGGGGACCTCGTCTCCGCGTGGACGGGCCCTGCGGCCCATGACGCCGTGTCCCCAAGGCCAGCTTTCCCCCTGCCCCGGGGCACCAAGGGGACGTAGTCTCTGAGCATTTGACCATCGAAAGCCCCCTTTCCGAGGACGTGGCAACATGGCCACTGTGGTGGAGAGTGGAGTGGGGAGCTCGGGCCCCTGTGAGCCTGGAGCGCTGTCCACACTGGAGGGGGGAGGCTGGCCCTGGGGAGGCGGGGGTCGGTCCTGTTGACCTCGCCCTCCTCTGGGGGTGTCCCCTGGAGGCTTCTCGCAAGAAAGGCCATAGTGGTTCCCCCCAGATTATTTAGAAGTAAATCCTCCAGATGAGCTGCTAAGATACAACTTAAAGAGTCTCTGAGTGCAGACACTCCCTGGGGTCCCATGGACCGGGCGGTCAGGCTGTCCAGGGCCCCGCGGAGCACAGCCGGCGTCCGGGCCGTGCTCACCGTGGCGTCTGCAGTTGTGGGCCTGAAAATTATCTCATTTCTTATGTGTTTCTAGTTGAATTGTGGAAAAGCTCTACTATCCAATTAACTCCTCCATAATTATTATTACGCTATTATTGTTGATAAAACATGGTTAAGATGACTAGGTTGCAGAAACCAGCAGGTAAGATTAGTTATTAAGTTGACTTTTTTGGTTCTATTGTAAAAGCAAACAAGAATAAAAATTTCAAATGTCTTTCATTGTTGGCATTAACTTAGTGACTGAAAATAAATTCGTCCTGTACTGTGTTCACTGGAAGTGTTGGGCATGTTTGGGAGGCTCGCTCTCAGGCCCTGGGGCGGAAGGGGTGTGTCTGTAGGGCTGGCCACCAGCGCGTGGGCGAGCGAGTCACCGGAGGGCCAGCCCGGCGCTGGGCAGGGCTGTATTCAGAACGGCCTTGTCCTAGCTCGCGGTTCTTCTCCGTGCTGACCCCCTTGCTGTTGGTCCCAGGGACAGCTGGGATGAGCACGGAGGGCGCTGCACAGGGGCCACCCAGTCCACTCCACCTGCTGGGCGGGAGGGGGACCCGGGAATAGGCCGCCCCTCCCTCCTGAATCACACCCTGGGGCCTGGCGCCACCTAAGCCTGAGAGAACGGAGGAGAATTAAGGAAACGTGAGAGAGGAGGGCTGGGGGGACGGGGTGCCGCACCCTGAGCTGGAACGGGTGCCCGGGTCTGAGCGGCTGCGTGCAGAGCGGGGAGACCAGGCTGAGTCTCCGAACCCCAGGAAAGTGGCTGAGATGGGGGTCCCAGTGGAGAATGGCTGGTGGCAGGAGGGCAGGCTTCCGGAGTGGCGGGGAGCGGGGAGAGGGGGCACGGGCCTGGGTCCCCACTGCCTGTCCACTGCCTCCTGGAGCAGGTGTCTAGGGGGCGGGCCTCACGCCTGGTTGCGTGTTGCAATGATGGGGGGAGCATTAAAGATGCGGCCCCCAGACTCTGCGTGTCACCAGGTGACACTCACGTGCAGCCAGGAAAGACGCGCCCAGCCCCACCCCAGACCTGCTCCGGTAAACACCAAAAAGCCCCGTGCTGTGACGTCACTTAGCTTTCCATCTCCGCCAAGCTCTGTCCGCATCTTCTGTGACTCTCGTATCCCAGCCCAGGAGACGCGCCCTGTCGCCCGCTCAGCACCGACGCGGCCCACGTCTCCTCATCCATAAGACAGGCGAGATTTTCAGGACACTCGCCTTCCCACCTCGGCCCCGGCCCGCACCCCGCTGGCTACTTCTTTTCTCCTTATCACTTGTCACACTCATGACACCAAAAAACTCAAGTATGACGTCTGGGGTCGCTCCCACGCCCTGCCCTCCTCCCCGAAGTGCCAGCCCCACTGTTTTGTCTCGTTCTTCCAGTAACAGACTTCACGATTATGTTCCACTCGGCTTCACATGAGGATAACGTCACGCTCCCTGGACAGGCAGTGGTGAGAGACAGATGCTCTCGATGGTGGAATTCAGGTTTACAACTCCGACCTCATACACGATTCCAGCCGAGGCTGCGCTCGGACCCTCTGCCAGCAGGGGCGACGGGGCAGGCGCAGGGGAGCAAAGGAGGACAAAGCAGCTGCTATTGTTTATTTCGCCACTCAACACAATTCCCGAAGGAAAACATCTTAAATGACACCACATCGAAGCAGGGGAGACGGGCGTGGTTTACTCCGCGTGACCCGTCATGGCGCAGTCGCCCGGCACGTCCTCAGGACTGCTCTGCGTCTTCTGAGGACACGGCTGAGGGGAACAGGGGCTCCAGGGCCCCGGCATCTGCGAAGGGAAGGGACACTCAGGGGGCCGAGCCCCAGCCACCGGCACGGAGAAGTCGTAGCTCACAGCACAGGTGACAGGGCCACTGTGCTCCCAAACCAGGTACAACGCTTCGGACTTCTTACTTTGTCATGATTTAATTCTCATACTTAGTGAGCATTTGAAACTGTAGGGCTTCTTTTTTTTTTTTTGAAACTGTCTTTTAAATTATGCTTTAAGGAAATATAATTTCTCTTTGGGTAATAAAAATTGGTATCTCCTAATGAAAGAAGTTCATGCTACAAAATTCAAAACATAAAACACAGCAAAAAAAAAAAAAAAAACCGGGAAGAGTCGAGCTGCTGTTCCCTGGAAAGTCGCGGGCACATTATCTCCAGCAGAGACCCCCGAAGCCCCCACTGGCAGGGCCAGAGGGCAAAGGGGTTGGAACAGACTCTTCCGAACCCACAACGGAACAGTGACGTGTGAAATCTGACCACCGATGTCTCTCCTGGAGCATCACAGCATCCATCCCCTTCCCGTGTCCCTCCACCCCACAAAGTGCCATGCCTTCCACGGGGGCGGTTTTGACCTGTGAATTTATCTGATTAAGGCCAGACTCTCGCTGCTGAACGGATAACAAGCATAAAGCCAGGGCTGAAACGGGCTCCCGGGGAGGCCTCGTCCACAGTATGTGCAGAAGGTACTAGATCCAGGGGTGAGAGCCATTAGATTTCAATGCACCTGCCCCGAAAGCAAACAGCAAAATCAAAATCTGAAATACGGCCTCCTATTGCTTCGCCGTGCTTTCGAGACATGGTTGAAGATGGCCTGTGAAGAGCCTGGCCTGCACTGTGGCTGCTGCCATGGCGATGACCCCAGGGGTGGGCTGAACCCCGAGGCCCGCCCTCTTCCTGGAAGCAGCGTTGGTCCCAGGACCCTTCCCGGGGGCAGTGTGAGACTGGCAGCCAGTCCTAGTCCCTGTGCCTCGTCATCCCAACCAACCGTGGTGACAGCGGGGACGCAGGGTGATGGTTACTTCCCGGTGTGGAATCCCTTCGTAGCTGGCGTTTTACGCGCCCGGGGTTCTAAATGGTGGAAACGTCACTCGGCCGCATCTCACATACCTTTGAGTTGCAAGAACGTCAGGAACTCGATGACCGTGCGTGCGACGTCGTTTTCTGGCAGTGGCCTGTCAAAGCTCCCTAAGAACCAGACGGGCCAGGGTTTATGGCCTGCCACCGGTGCTCCCGGTCTCACGGTCCCCGGGGACCTGGGCGCCAGGGGTCAGTGAACCCAGAGCGTGAAGCCATCACCATGCCCTCCCCAGGGCCTCACTCAGCCCAGGGGAGCCCGTCAGTCCAAGGCCCGCCGATCCTGACACCCCGAGTCCCAGGGGCTCTGCCCTGTGACTGCTCTGGGTCTCACTTGTGGGTTCTGCTGCCTCTCTTTCTAGCAGCTGACAGATGTGGTCGGGCCAGGCTCGGGCCGAGGCTGCAGATAGGCGGTGGCCGGAGCTGGATACTCCCCCACCACCCCGTGTGCCCTGGGAGGTGACGGACAGTGAGTGCCTCGGAAGCCGGGACTAAACGCCTCTCACCTGGCTTCGCTTCGTCTTCCGGCTGGAGTTCCCGCTTGCCAGCGAGGCCATGCTTGTCGTGCAGTGATCTATGGTGGTCAATGGCATCTGTTTGCAGGTCAGAGAGGACAGCCCTGAATGTCGTCACTACTCGCCACGGCCTCCCCACCCCACTGAAGGACATTTGGCTGCTGATCATCAAAACGCTCACGGGACTGGCCCGTAAGACTAAAGCCACGGTGTGGAAACCACAGGACGGGGAGGGTCCCTCTCCATGGAACCCGAAGCGAGAACTTGTCCCCGGGGCTGGGACCTGGCAAGAACAGGCAAGAGGCTGCCTGGCCAAGCGGGCAGAGGGAGAGGGCGGCTGTGGCTCCAGCAGAGCTGGCCAGGCCGCAGGGACACAGGCCTGCTGCAGCGGGGAGCTCCAAGGACGCGTCCAGAGTGGGGCTGGCGTCCTAAGTCCCTGAAAACAACGGGACCGCTGAAGAATTTCAAGTTCTGACGTAATGAGGTTTTAGTTTTTCAAAGACCACACTAGCAGCTGTGTACGAGACAGACCGGAACCAGGGAGAGGGAGATGCACGGAGGGAGGGAGGGAAGCAGGGAGGCTGAGTGTGTGTGTGTGCGCGCGTGTGTGTGAGTGCACGTGTGTGTGAGTGCACGTGTGTGAGTGTGCGTGTGTGTGTTGGGTGGTGTGATCTTGACTGCAATCAGAGAGATCCCTTAGGAAACTACTAGAAAGAAAGAATGGTGGCTCTAAACCAAGTGACCTGGGAAATACAGAGAAGGGGCTAGATCCGGGACGGATGGAGGACAGCGCAGGGTTCCAGCTGCTTGGCCCCGTGGGCCGCGTCATCCACAAGGCTGGACAAAAGAAAATCCATTTTTCCAGGGGCAGAGCTCTTGGCGCTAAGCTCAGGAGAACGGTGTCAGCCGAGCCCTCTGATGCGCCAGCGGCTGTCGTCAGGCGCACACCGCTGCGGACAGCCGCTCCGCAGACACGGCCTTTGTGGGGCAGTTTCCCGCACGGGCGGGGGATGTCAAGGGCGCGCTGCTAAGCTGTAAAGGGTTTCGACAGACAGCTGGTCCCCCTGTCCAGCCCTGGTGATGCGACTCAGAGGAACAAACCCGAGAGTGAAAAGAATTTCTTTTCTAACTCGGGATTCAAAATCTTGATCTATTTTCAATATTCCAAAGTTAACATGGGCCAGCAGCACACAGAGCCGAGGTGCTTTCTGAGTGACAGAAGTCAGGCTTGCAAAGGGCTCAGGAAAACATGTATCCTCGAACCGGTGAAAGACCACCAGGGACCTGAGACCAAAGACGCCAGTAGATCCTGCCTGCGGCCCCAGCTAGTTTTTGTCATCTCTGTGCCTGCGTTTCTCAAAGCACAGGGCTCTCGAGGTACCCCAGGTGATGGACAAGCGACCATCTGCAGTAGGAGAAGGTCCCTGTTTAAACTCTGGGATTCAGAACTGAGACAGCCCCAAGGCATGGAGGCCAAACGGGGAAGCCTGGCAGAGGAGGCGGGGGAGAGAGGGTTCCCCCTTTCCCCTCCCCCCAGGCTGCAGCTGGGTCAGGGTTCCAGGCAGAGCCAGCTGCCTCAAGACTGGGGAGGGGCGGCTGGGGTGGGGGAGCAGGAATCCATCCATCTGCTGCAGCGAGGGGCCTGGCGTAAAGGGGAGGACCGCTCCCGGCAGGGCTGCCTTTGGGGGAACCCATCCTCCATGTCTCAGGAAACGCCCCCCACTTCTCATTCTGGGACTAAAACTGGAATCTCGCGTCTCAGACTGACGACCGCCTGCCAGCGTTTCAGAAAGAGCAGGTTTGACACAGACGGTCACGGCTGCCACTCGGAGAGCAGGTCCGCGTCCTGAGCGCCTGTGGGCGCTGGGTCACTTACGTGGACCGAGAAGGTAGCCAGCGCTGTTCAGAGTCCAGCCCCTCTTCTCCTTCACCTTAAGTGGGAGAAAAGTGGGTCAGACCGGGAACAGGCTGCGGCGGCTGCAGCTTCTGAGTGTGGCCCGAGCGGGGACCCGCGTCGAGTAACCGCGGAGCTTAAGTCACGAACACTCCATGTTCGCAGAAGCGGCTTAGTGACGCAAGCTGTCACAGCCAGAGCCCGCGCCGGGTGGCATTCACCCAGCCCTCGCAGGCATAATACAGGAAGTGGAGCAATGCGTGTACTTTCGGAAGCTGCTAGAAATTCGATTTGCCCCCCACCCTCACTATATTCAACGTGACTATAGAACGACCCGCTTGGCGCGTGGACGGCGCCGGCTGCCACGCGGCGTAACCGGCTCCACGAGCTGAAGGCTCTGACCGGCCA